CTAGATAGAAAGAGAGATAAATAGATAGATACAGATAGATAGAAAGAGAGATAAATAGATAGATACAGATAGATAGAAAGAGAGATAAATAGATAGATACAGCTAGATAGAAAGAGAGATAAATAGATAGAAAGAGAGATAAATAGATAGATACAGATAGATAGAAAGAGGTACATATACACAGACAGCTAGATAGATAAACACACCAATAGACAGATAAATTTGTAGCTAGATAGGTAAATGCACAGATAGACAGAAAGAGAGATAAATAGATAGATAATCCGGGACGAATTACTTTGACAAATAACGTCCGTTGGTCATTAAAGATTGACAGTTATTGGTTTTTTATATGTTTTCTCTTGTGTTAAGTCCGTTATACGTAACCGGATTACACTAGACAAATATTACCACAAGACAGTACCAAAGAGGTTATGAGAAACGAATTAAATGCTATAGTCCAACATCGGCATGTATTTGTGTAAGAAATCACTCTCACGTGACGAGATTCAACGTTCTTGCTCTCGTCCTCTTTTTCTTACTTTTATTTTTTTTAATGATGTAAATCCTCTAACATCAACGTGTCTAAAAAAGCAAGACACGTTGATGTTAGAGGATCTACATCATTAAAAACCTTCTTCTTAGCAGTAGAAACGATTATTATCATCCAATCTTCCACGTTCTGTTTCTGATTAGGTTTTTACGTTGATCTGGTCAGTTTGATTTTTTTATGCTATTATTTATAAGAATGCCTAACTCGTACTTGTTTTACTTTTCATCCTGCAGTGTCTAGAAATTCTTTAATTAACTGTCGTCAGCTTTCCTTTCATCTTATTTATCAAGATATAGAAAACTATAGAATTGGGCAGAGCAGTGAAAACTAGTTCCAGCTATCAAAGTATAAAACAGTCAATAAATATTATTATTTTGTGTTTGTTGTAAATCACAAAGCTACGAAATGGAATATCTGTTCTTTGCCCACGGCGGGTAGCTAAGTCCCGATTTTTAGCGTTGTAAGCCCACTGACTTACCTATGAGTCTACGGGGAGTGAGAGCGATAAATATGAAACTCCTATGATCGGTGTCAGTTTAAAAGTATTTTGAGTCCACGGGGAGTGAGAGCGATAAATATGAAACTCCTATGATCGGTGTCAGTTTAAAAGTATTTCGAGTCTACGGGGAGTGAGAGCGATAAATATGAAACTCCTATGATCGGTGTCAGTTTAAAAGTATTTCGAGTCCACGGGGAGTGAGAGCGATAAATACGAAACTCCTATGATCGGTGTCAGTTTAAAAGTATTTCGAGTCCACGGGGAGTGAGAGCGATAAATATGAAACTCCTATGATCGGTGTCAGTTTAGAAGTATTTCGAGTACAGAACAAACGACATCATATTTGCGTGTTTTACAACATTAATTCATTGATGTGGTCAGGATTTCGAAACCACAGTTCTTTTCTTGTTCTTAATGAAAGTTTAGTTGGGTATCCAACTTTTATAGGCGAGAAATGTAGATGGCGATGGAAACTATTTAATGCTGGAGAAAGTGAACACTAGATGGCGTTGTAAACTTTTTAATGTTGGAGAAAGGTCATGCGCATTGCTGTGACCACAAGGTTTTACTTAATCAGTTAACACATAAATTAAAACGTTTAAACATTCTACTTTGCTTATCAAATTAGATAAACTACTTAAATTATGGATATCTTATTCTTCTGATTCTATTATAGTATCTTCATCAGAGGACGCTGCTGTCGTGGAGGTCCACGCCCAATAAAGATACTCAGATAACTGACTCTATCGTATTTCGCGCGATTCTTTTTCAGGACTTTTGTGTCACGTGCATTGATGACGGTGGAAGACATTTTGAGCGTCTGTAACTTTAGAGTGATTCAGTTTAATCACTAAGAAAATTTTGTTATGTTTGTTTGTTTGTTTTGGAATTTTGCGCAAAGCTACACGAGGGCTATCTGCGCTAGCCGTCCCTAATTTAGCAGTGTAAGACTAGAGGGAAGGCAGCTAGTCATCACCACCCACCGCTAACTCTTGGGCTACTCTTTTACCAACGAATAGTGGGATTGACCGTCACATTATAACGCCCCCACGGCTGAAAGGGCGAGCATGTTTGGTGGGATACGGATTCGAACCCGCGACCCTCAGATTGTGAGTCGAGCGCCTTATCCACCTGGCCATGCCGGGCACATTTTGTTATGAGTTAGCTGCAGCTTCACGTTTCTTTCCTGAAGGCCCCTGGTGGCTAAGCGATACACTAGAAAGCTTATAACGCTAAGATTTGGGGTCTACAGTTGAAACAGCGATGGTAGCTCACTGTGTAGCTTCCTGCTTAAAATAAACACGAAATTTTAAATTTGGTGGGGAGGTGTCCCCCCTCCTGGTATTTCAAAAATTATACGACTAATTCTGAAGCGATATATAGTTGAAATAAAGAAGAAAACGAACGAAGAAAAAACAAAAATAGCACATTAGTGACCGGTACATCAGAAGGACTGGTGTTCTCGTAGATACACTGAAATCCAGTAAA